TGCGACAGATATACAAAGATTATATTAGGAGTTGCGATGTGAGCGCCAATGATCTACGCCTGAACTAAAATTGGTAATGTAGGGATAAATGGTCGACCTTGTGGCTTCATTAGAAATTTTTGCAGGAACGTTGCTAAGACATTCAAGGTCATACTGACAAAGTTTTACGCAATTCTTGTTTTTTTAAAAAATATTATTTCAATTCATCTTTTGAAGTAATGATTGACTACTTTGTCCAAATTATATTGTTTACCTAAATTTCATAAACCTGGAAAAACATTGAGACCTACTGTCTCAGCTATAGATTTTCCAACATATAATATTTCAAAGTGGTTGGTTGTAGAACTTGGAAATTTAAAATATAAAAAAGAAAGTTATTCTGTAAAAAACTCGCAAGAGTTTGTTGGTAAAATCAAAGACGTAAGCCTAAGTAAACATGAAATTTTAGTATCTTTTTATGTTTCTTCATTATTTCCAAGCGTTCCTATACCAGAAACTTTGGAATACCTCAGGAAATTAGTCAAATATAATAACTACAGTAAAGATATAATTGAAGAGCTAATCACTCTGACAAAGCTTTGCATTTTTCTAAATAACAACAACTATTCTGAACAACAAAATGGTACGGCCATGGGAAATTGTTTATCTCCTTTTCTGGCTGAACTTTTCATGCATCATTTTGAAGATAATGCTAAAGAAATTTTCAAGTACTTTCCTGGAATATGGTATACGTCGACGATGTTTTCGTCATTTTTGATACAACTTGCATGGATTTAAATGACTTTATTTCAAACTTGAATAATTACTTCCCATCTATCTAGGCGAAACTAGCGTCAACTACGTAAAGTTGAGTTTCGGTTTGTGGCAAAACGCGTTATTGTGTGTTAGTGCAGTGCCGAAGGTTCCAGTCAAGAGTTTGATAATGATTGAGGAAACAAAACAATTTAGCAAATATTCTAAATTTGGTGAAATTTTAAGTGTAATGGATACTGTCCATCTAAAACATTTTATTGAGGATTACAATATATCCACGACTGCAGTGGTGAACATCATATAAAAAAAGAGAAGGAAACGGTTGTAACCTCGACAAACACTTACAACAAAACAGTTGTGCAATGATTAAAAGATTAAAATTAAAATACTGATTTCTAGAAATTGTCCTGATAATTCAGTTTTGTTCTGGATTGCTAAACATGCTCCAAAATACTTGAATTAAGTAATGTATGAATCAAATATCTACAATTTAAAAAATGCTTTCAAGCTTTTCAATAAAAATCTGTAAATCAACTACGGCCATAAGTGATGTAGTTTTCAATATTCAAATATTCGAAGTATGAGCTTTTTCTCGATAATTTACCATAATGTATTGAAAAAGTTGTATTGTTTCCTATAATAGCAAATTTTACACTCCGGAAAGTTTTTTACAAAAAAATATAACTGCTGTCCGGCGTGAAATTATTAGAAATTATTTTGAATCTGGATAGTTGAACTGGAATTTGCCAAGTGGGTTACCTTAATTGGATTTAGATACCGTAAGCTAGTCGTTTACTAGCATACACAGATACAGAACTTTGGATGAATGGAGGTTTGTTTGTGTTTGTAGAGGGTGAAGCTTTAAGAGGCTAAAAATAAAGTAGGCGGAGTCTACATATTCCGTGCGCGGAGGAAACTTCTTTAAAGGATGAGGACTACGATAGTGTATTCTATTTTTGATGTATTGATTGTTCCTACGATGTAATGTGAATTTCAGATCAAAGCTAGAAGATACGGACGTCAAAGCTTCATTCAACACATAATAATAGGCAAGACAAATTTCAGTTTTCCTTTGTGTTCCATGGAGTTCAAAAATATGTTTTTTTTAAGGAACTTCCACAGACTACTGCAATACTATATAAAAATCTTCTAGATTCCTCCTGTATCAGTGGTTGGTGGTACTTGCTCACGTGTCGCTTAACATGCTAATGAGAGAGACTAACTAACTCAGAGAGACTAACTGAAACTCGGTTTCATGCAATATCCAAGTCACTACCGGCTAGTGAGGGAGCGGCGCCGCTTGATTCATTCGCTGACACCCCTATTTGACTGATCCTGAGGACGTTTTCAAGAAGAGATATCAGTCGATACTCCATCTTCGCCCTAACTCTTCCTCTCTTTTCAGGAGCAATTATTTATGTCGCCGGAGCTGATAACCCAGTAATCGCAAAGGGATTTGCCTATTTTTGATTCAGAAAAAGTACCTTGAGTATTTGATATATTGCGACTTCTTGTGTGTCAGGTGCGGTGTTAGAGTTAAAATTGTGGCTAGAGAAAGGTTAGGTTTTGGTAGGTAGGTTATGGTATTTATTGGCTATAATGAAATAGTATAGTCTCTTGATATGGCTACATCCAGTATCATTATCTGTACTGTAGAGCATTTTTTTCACCATAATAATGATAACATATCACTAGAGAATAAAAATGGTAACATATAAATTTAAAACAAAACAAAAACAAGATTTAGAGATAGATTAGATAGAGATTTTGATAACAAATGTAACATTATTCCATACCCATACCTTCAGAAAAATGTACATTGTACTCTCAATAAATTATTTCGCGGTTATTTCAAAAATTTCCTATTAGTTTTTGACATGCACATGCCGCAGGCAGAAGTTAAAACTGGGAATTAAAAAAGTAGAACATTGGATTGCACGTATTATTGCAATAAGTGCCGTGCAATTGCGGCCCTACAAATGTACACATTATCTCAGAATAGACAGGATGTACGAAAAAAATCTTAAATACAAAAGTCATCTGCCTTGAAACGAAGTTCTATTTTATTATATTTTTGCGTATGCAGGGCACTCAGTATTGCTTGGGTAGACACAACTTTTATTTGTAAAGGAACATCCTGTGGATTATTACATTCTCGGATTCTACTTAAGTTTCTACGGAAATTTCATGAATAATGTTCTATACCTTTGTCTAATGGTTTTTGACATATTTAAGTTTTTATCTCAAATATGTCATTTACTGGCCCATAGAAAGAAGCCAATTTTTCCTAAACTTCTAATAATCAATTTTTTTAAATGGAAACCCCCAAATTCCATAATTTTATCTTATTTACCATAAAAAATAAAGGTAACTATGGTGAAAATGTTTAATTTTTGGAAATATTGACAAATTAATATTCTTACATGACGTTTTGCTGCGGGTTTCAAGCATTGCTACATCTATCTATTCTTAGTTGTCTATGACAGCATTTAAAATCATTCATATTTCAAAAGTTCAAAATTTATCAATAATTTTTGGTTAAAAAAAGCTATAATATATCAAGTTTCGGCAATTTTTTGTAATAACAACAAAAAATAATGACACTTAAAGAACAATTAACTTGGATTTGGATTTCAATATGTCCCCCATGATTCACCTAACATGTCGTATATACGGTTTCCATTTTATTTATAGTATGACTAACCATGTTGACGTATGATACAGAGCACTATCATGAGGAATGATTAGATCATGTTTAATTTGTTCTGGTAGAGCGTCAATAAGCGGATAAATCTGGGTAGCTAGATTGTCTTCATAAAATATCGGCCCAATAATTTTGTTAGATACTATAACACACCAAACAAATATATTTCTGTAACCATGCTTCTGAATAATTTAACATGGTATTTGTCACTGGTAGACCAGTAGTGGGTATTTTTTCCATAAAAAATGCCGGCCTTATTAAAAATAGCTTCATCAGACCACAATACTTTTTTAAATATATTGGCTTCAACGTAACGGTCCATCGTTAGAGCGCAAAAATGTTGCTCTTGCATCCTTATCCTCAGATGTTGATGACTGAACAGAGTGAAATTTAAATGGAAAATAATTATTTACATTCAAAGCGTTTTGAAGGCTACTTCGACTTATTTCTAGATTGTCACGCGAGGCTTACATTTGGGAACTTTCTTCGGTCCCCTTAAAATACAGCAGAATATCTAATTGTTTTTCCTTAGTAAGGACAGTTCTCGGTTTCGCCTGGTGTTTTTTATGACTGAACCATTTTGTAGTTCACGCATTATTCAATCAAAAATCTGTTGATTGGGTAATCTGCTTGCTGGATATAACTGCCGGTACTTTCGAAGAGCCAAAGCTGGACTTTTATTATTGCAAATAAAGTACTCAAAGCACTGAAAACGCTTTTCAACAGTATTTCCAGTCATATTTTTGACAGTAATACAACCAAAACCGATGAAATTACATTTAATCGGGAGCTTGTGATATTCTTGGCTTTTATGTTTATCATGTTTATTCATTATCAAGTATAACAAAGCTTGAATCCAACATCAAAATTGTCATATAAAAATATTAATTTGTCAATATTTCGAAAACTAAACATTTTCAGCATAGACAACCTTATACAAACTTAGCTTTCTTTTTAACGGTAAATAAGATAAAATTATGAAATTTGAGGGTTTCCATTAAAAAAAAAGATTTTTGGAAGTTTTTGAACACCCTGTATTATTATATATATTATAGAAATTCTATTAAAGTAGGTTCTTGTCGAGAAGTTATTAAACCTAAATTAAAAAATAAAGATTTCCTCTTAGGAAAAATTGGTATTTTACTTAAGGTCTGCAAATGACATATTTGAGATAAACCATTAGTCATCGGTATAGAACATTATATATGAAATGTTACTAGAAACTTAAGTAGAATTCAAATAATGTATAATAATATACATTATGTTCCATTAAAAAAAAGAAGTTGTAGTTTCCCATATAGAAAAATATAATAAAATAAAACTTCGTTTCAAACCAGATGACTTTTGTATTTAAGATTTTATTCGTACACCCTGTATATTCTGAGATAAGGTATAGGGTTACGTTATATTGACCACCCCGTACACTGCGTAAATGCAACGATATTTGAATGTTTAGAAATGATTTCTGCAGGACTTTGCCGCTGGTGCCTTGTGCGTGGCAGATTAAAAAATGTTTGGCGTAACCATATTTTAAATAGCTTACCATATTTGTATCGCCTATGGGGCTTTGTGCGCTTGCCGATCCATTGTTCGTTGCTGATTTTTCCGGTGAACAATTGTTCGAAATCAGCACAGCCAAATTCTGTATCTTGCCAATGGCGGTCGTTGGTTTAGTTATCGTAAACGCTGTTGTTTCTTCTTCCATATCCGCATTCCTGTTGACGTGTTCTTCCTGGTCTTCAATTATTTCCATCGTCGTAGTTGATTGGCCTTCCATTAATACTAACGAGTTAACTAATGCCTCGGCGGCGAAAGACTGTTTCCCTGAATAACGTTTCACCCGTAGGAAAGTTTTTGATAATCTAAAAATATATATAATAATGTATAATGATTCAGAATTGCTTAATATCGAATTATATTAAAATATCATTTTCAATTTTACAGGGTGATTCATATGTAGAAAATAAAATTTATATATTTTTAGAGGAAAGGAAGGAAAGAAGGAAGGAACCACATTCTCTGCTTCCCTTCGTTTGGAATAGTACTCAACATATTTTGCAAACTCTGCTCCACAAAGTCTAAGTAAACTAGTATTTAAAAAAAAAGGCCATACAACCTTATACTACCATATCACATTCAAAGATCATTTTTCCTTATTCTGTGTCATCATTAACACAACCTTTTTTATGGAATGTCAATTCATCGAAAAGTTATCTTGCTCATAAATTCTTTCTTATTCCTATTTACAAAATGTTTATCTAATTTGATAATCATTTTTGACCGAGTGTTTTCGGAGCGCGAGCATTGAAGATGCCAAGTGAGATTTTGGCGAAACGTCTGCAGGATTCCAGTCGGAGTTCAACGAGCGAACGGATGATATCCCGGAATATAGTGTCATCATATGTATATATATATATATATATATATATATATATATATATATATATATATATATATATATATATATATATATATATATATATATATATATATATATATATATATATATATATATATATCAAAATATTCAGTTGCTTCAAAATTTTAAATTTTAAATTTTACATTGCACTACTATTCTGCGTCATTTCATTTTACTACTCTTTCGACGTCCTCAATATACAGTAAATAGCAACGTCTGGAGAATATACAAATCTATTGCAATATCTTTTTGGCTTCCGACATGGTTGCCACATCCATACCTCGTACCGAATTTAGGTATTCCTAATTATCAGAGATATACACATGGAACTGCCTCTCTTTCGGTATTTTAATGAACTCCTTTGTACTTGGGTATTTAGTTCGAATTTTCTAAGCAAATGCAAATAATACATGGGTAGTAGGTAGAGTTCAAGGGGCTTATAGGTTTAATGTGACCAATCAACTTTTTTATTTTTGCTATTATCTAATTGAGTCTCTTAATTTATGTATCACATGTAATAGTAATAGATAATTGAGCGTTATGACCTTGGCAATTCCAGTGAATTTCCAGTGTTTAGATTATCTGGATGTCAGTTATAGGATTCCAAGCGCGCATAAGTAAACGTGAGTACTGCAGTAACATTGAATTCATGATTAAAGCAATAGATTCAGGATAATGGAACTTCAATTATTTAACGCAGATAATTTGTTTCATCCATTTTTTAGTTAGTTTAATAGGTTCTGATATTATAATAGCTTCATAAAAAATAATTTATTAAAACTAAGACAAACTTTATTATCATAATAATAATAATATATACAAAAATTCAAAAAAATGCTGACACACATGTATGCTAAAAAGAAAAACAGACTAGGATATGTCTATTTTGGCAATATCCAAAACTGTAATAAAAACTGAAAATTTAAAGAAAAAATTGAAGTTGACGGTCATTAGTGCCACATATCTTCAATTTTATCGATTGATGATTTTGATACCTAAATAACGTTTTTCATTTTTTTTGTATATATATTTTGGACAAACACCTTAATTTTCAACCAGGATTTATTTTCCAATAAATCTGAATGACTGCTTATTAACACCTCACATTCTGCTTTCTTTGGTGGTTTTTTTGTTTGTATGTGGTTTTTTGGTCCGCTGCTATGGAATCAGTTCTCGTTTTTTTATTGTCACACTATCTTTTTTGGAATGTGCAAGTTCCGTTTTTTTGTTTGTTTGATTTAATGTCTCATTTTTGTCTGCAAGAGTGGGATGCTCATCAATTTCATCTTCGAAAGCAAACTGTTGGTAAGTTTCGTCTACGTTTTCGGGGTTTAATTGGTCTTCTAAAGTTAAGTCAGTTTCTTCCAATGTCTTTCCTTTGTACTTTCCCGCTTGGCCATCTTCCATGAGAAGTAACAGTTTCGCAATTTTTGCAGTTTGAAAAATGTCATCTTGAAGTCTATAATTTTGACTATGTACATTTAAAGTGTGGCCCATAAACGTTGCCAACTGTTCAAGTTCGTTTTGTGACATATTACAGACCTGTGATAATGTGGCCAAATGTTTCCTTAATTTCGTGGAAGTTAAAGCTCGTGGGTCTCTTGCTCCACATATTCTTGCGTGTGTTTGTAGTACCTTATACCCTACTATAGGCTGGTCTGAATGAGTCAGAGCAAACAAAAATAATTTTTTTTTTAAATTGTTGTCGTTTTTCAATCAGAAAATCCATATGGCTTTGAATATCTCTGCTAAATAGAACGGGAACCCCTCTTCCCCTTTTCCCTCTTATCACAATCCGTTTAAAGCTTTTCAAAAGAATTTTTTCAGAAATTGTATTGGCGTTCGAAAATTCTTCGTAACTGTGGTTATTTTTTTCATCAGATAATGTATAAGACGTCAGCTTCATTCTCTGCAATTCACCTACCCTCTTTCTATTAAGAAGCAATAACCAGCAAAACACTGTTTCCATCAAAACGGTGTAATTTTTTAAACTATTGGAACCCTCTTTCAATTTTTTTTCAGCTTCGTTGCCCTTTTCAATGAGATATGTTTTAAGTAATTTTAGATCAGACGCTAAAGGTATTATTGTCGTCTTATTCCAAGTTTTAGTATTCAAGTCTCTAGCAGCTTGGATAGATATTTCATGTTTCCAAGTACTTTCCAATAATCTCTTAAACATACTAACATTTGCTTCAGCCTCTGCAGCACTAACGTTCGGGTAGCACTATTTTCGCTTTATAAAATTTAATATTGCGATATCACAACAATCTTTTAAACTTGTAGAGATATTCATAGCGAATGTGGGAGATATGTAAATATCATTGTGTGCATCATATTTCGCAATAATTTTGACACTTTGAACAACAACATCATAATTCTGAGGATACAACAAATCATACAAATTATTAATTTTTGAATTGATTTTTTTTGACTCTATTATGACCTTTGACAATTCCCTCATTTTTCGTGAGCAAATATTGACATGATGTTGTTCTCTATGAGTATTTAAATATCTTTCTCCAAAGGCGCAAATAAGACAATCTTTTTTTGCAATAAAAGATATTTTGTCACATCTCATGCGTGGAAATACTTTTGCTATTAAATCAGAATTACTAATTCTCTTAGAAAGAAGGAAATTGTGTTCATTACTAGATGATTCTTTTTTCTCTGGACAACTTTTTAGATGTCTCCAAAGCAATTTACGTGAATAATGGCCATAGCAATATTTACATGCAGCGTAGCTTCCTTCAGACGTGTCAACATAAGTTCTGTGAACAGGCTTCACCATAGAATGACAGTTTTTAATGTGATTTCCTCTCTTTCTTAAAGATGCAATAAGTCTTTTTCTTTCGATAGTTTTTGGCTTCAACGTAAGTATTTTTTGCACTTCAATTTCCTGCGAATGATTTCGGATAATATATCGAGCAAAATTCAACACATCAGTTTCACAATAAAAGCAGAAATCTGGAAATCAGTTATTTTATTTTTTATTATAGTTTTGTTTACCGAATGGAAAACGTTTTCAGTTGCAGGACTGGAAATTACTGAGTTCACTTCTTTCTTATCCTAAAAAGTAGAAATGAAATGAACAAAACATATTATAAATATTAAACAATACAACAATTATTCATTCTCTAAATTATTTTGCTTTTAATTTACTATTTTAATTTACTTTTTTAGTTCATGTCGTAGTCGAAATTTGGAATAATTTTGCTTTTCGCGATAAAATATAAGCATTTACACTATTTTTTTGTTTTTTGATTGTTTCATTTAAAATTTTTAGACTATGGGAGCTCAAACCTCGCTCTAAACTTAATATTTCAATAAATAACTATAATAATAAGAAACTATTTTAATCAACAATTAATGACAAAATATCATTTATTTAGAACCAGAAGCTATGCAAAGAAAAATAAGTATTCGAATTTCAACGATTTTGCTACACAGCAAAATACCTAATCTTTTATTTATATTTATTATTTTTATTTATTTAATTTTAAAACGTTGCGACTGTCTTTCAAAACTAATCATTCGGTTTATATGTATTTACCTTAGGTGATGTTAACAATAAGTTACTTGAACAGGATTGTTTAGCATCGGGAGATGTCTAGAATAAATAATTCAATTTTTGAATTGTAATTTAAATTGTAAACCATAGATTACCGAAACTACAGAATATTGCAAATCAGTAACTTTATCTAATGAGTTTTTAAATGAAATGACAATCTTACAAGTTCGTCTTCGGAATTTGAGTCCGACGGATAATATGTGGGGTCTTCATCTGAGTTCGATGACAATTCGAAATTATCTAAAATGATATTATAATTTCAATACAATCATATCTATAAACATGCCCTTTCTCCATAAAATCTCTAAATTCTTAAAATTGATGTTCAGGCGAAAGACTAAATATTAATTCCAAGCTTTGACGCAACCCGGCAACACCGCACTAGGACAAGGATGAAAAAGACAGGTCCCGCCGGGATTCACGCGTGGAACGGGTGTGGGTCGAGACGCTCCGCGAATGCCTCCTAATTCCAATTAATTTTGATATGCAATACAAATGTTTGTTTGTTTCTTTCTGTTTGGCTTGTAGAGTACCGTATATTTATTAAAGCAGTGAAAACAAAGTTAAGTGGTTATTACTCCGCTGAATCTATCGGGAATCCAAAAGATTCCTAAGTGGTCCTTCGAACTCTGAAAACAGCGTTAGCCCGACCATATTTTTGGTCCCATCGAGCCGGATAAACCGTTCAAGTGCTAGCAGAGACAATTTAGTGCAAGTCAAGGTAACAGCAACCAAGAAGCAAGCAGCAGCAATTTCAGTGTGGCAAAACCGGTAGCAACAAAGCAAGAAATCAAATCAAGTGAGTCCGTTCCATTTTTCAATTCTATCCTAGTTGTTTATTTCTCCCAAAGTCTAGCTATTTCTATTCTAAAGTC